ATATTCAGGTGTCAGACACGACTGGATCTTCAAACGGCACAGGGTTCTGTGGTCAGATGAGACTAAAAAAAGAGCTTTTTGGCAGTAAGCTCACTAGATAGTTTGGTGGACATGAGGATAAAAAGTACCATGTGTACAATTTAATAAACCATTGGATCTTTAATGTTGGGGACCTATTTTTCAGCAGGAGGTCCTGGACTTCTTATTCAGACACATGGCATTGTGGATTCTATTAAATATCAACAGATAAAAAATCAAAACCTGACACCTTCTGCTAGAAATCTTATTATGGGCCATGGTTGGATCTGCCATCTGGACAACGATCCAAGACAAACATCAAAATCAACACAAAAATTTGTTAGGGAGCACAAAATGAAGCTTCTGCCATGACCGTCCCAGAACCCTATAGAAAATGAGTGGTCCGAACTGAAGAGAAGAAGCACAAACATGGATCTGGGAATCTGAAGGATCTGGAGAGTCTGTATGGAGGAATGGTCTCTGATCTCAGGTCAGGTGTTGTCCAAACACATCAGGCATTATAGCAGAAAACTCAGAGCAGTTATCTTGGCAAAAAGATATTGCAAAAAGGTATTTAATAAAAGGGTATGAGTAATTGTGGCCAACGTGTTTTGGAAAAAAACATTTATTTTATAATGTGATCCCACATTACACATTAACAAACATACCTAGCAACCAGTATTAACGTTCACATAGTTACACATAAACCAACCTACCAGTATTAACTTTCACATGCAGTTACACATTAACCAACCTACCTACTGTATTAACTTTCACATACAGTTACACATTAACCAACCTACCTACAAGTATTAACTTTCACATGCAGTTACACATTAACCAACCTACCTACCTACAAGTATTAACTTTAACATGCAGTTACACATTAACCTACCTACCAGTATTAACTTTCACATACAGTTACACATTAACCAACCTACCTACCTATAAGTATTAACTTTCACATGCAGTTACACATTAACCTACCTACCTACCTATAAGTATTAACTTTCACATACAGTTACACATTAACCTACCTACCAGTATTAACTTTCACATACAGTTACACATTAACCTACCTACCAGTATTAACTTTCACATGCAGTTACACATTAACCTACCTACCTATAAGTATTAACTTTCACATACAGTTACACATTAACCTACCTACCAGTATTAACTTTCACATGCAGTTACACATTAACCAACCTACCTACCTATAAGTATTAACTTTCACATACAGTTACACATTAACCTACCTACCAGTATTAACTTTCACATACAGTTACACATTAACCTACCTATAAGTATTAACTTTCACATGCAGTTACACATTAACCTACCTACCAGTATTAACTTTCACATAGTTACACATTAACCTACCTACCAGTATTAACTTTCACATGCAGTTACACATTAACCTACCTACCTACAAGTATTAACTTTCACATGCAGTTACACATTAACCTACCTACCTACAAGTATTAACTTTCACATACAGTTACACATTAACCTACCTACCTACCAGTATTAACTTTCACATACAGTTACACATTAACCTACCTACCTACAAGTATTAACTTTCACATGCAGTTACACATTAACCTACCTACCAGTATTAACTTTCACATACAGTTACACATTAACCTACCTACCTACCTACCTACCTACCAGTATTAACTTTCACATAGTTACACATTAACCTACCTATCTACAAGTATTAACTTTCACATGCAGTTACACATTAACCTACCTACCTACAAGTATTAACTTTCACATACAGTTACACATTAACCTACCTACCTACCAGTATTAACTTTCACATACAGTTACACATTAACCTACCTACCTACAAGTATTAACTTTCACATGCAGTTACACATTAACCTACCTACCTACAAGTATTAACTTTCACATACAGTTACACATTAACCTACCTACCTACCAGTATTAACTTTCACATACAGTTACACATTAACCTACCTACCTACAAGTATTAACTTTCACATGCAGTTACACATTAACCTACCTACCAGTATTAACTTTCACATACAGTTACACATTAACCTACCTACCTACCTACCTACCTACCTACCTACCTACCAGTATTAACTTTCACATAGTTACACATTAACCTACCTACCTACAAGTATTAACTTTCACATGCAGTTACACATTAACCTACCTACCTACCTACCTACCTACCAGTATTAACTTTCACATAGTTACACATTAACCTACCTACCAGTATTAACTTTCACATACAGTTACACATTAACCTACCTACAAGTATTAACTTTCACATGCAGTTACACATAAACCAACCTACCAGTATTAACTTTCACATACAGTTACACATTAACCTACCTACCAGTATTAACTTTCACATGCAGTTACACATTGACCTACCTATCAGTATTAACTTTCATAGTTACACATAAACCAACCTATCAGTATTAACTTTCATAGTTACACATAAACCAACCTATCAGTATTAACTTTCACATAAAGTTACTCATTAACTTTCACATGCAGTTACACATTAACTTTCACATACAGTTACTCATTATCGTTCGCATGCTGTTACTCGTCATTTCACATGCAGGTACTCATCATTTTTCACAGGCAGGTACTCGTAAACTTTCACATGAAGCTACTCGTAAACTTTCGCTTGCAATTACTCAACAACTTTCTCACGCAGTTACATATCGATTTTCACTGCAGTTACACATTAGCTTTCACATGCAGTTACACATCAACTTTCACAAGCAGTTACTCGTCGCCTTTCGCATGCCCGTTACTCATTAACTTCGCTTGCAAGTTACTCATTAACTTCAGTGCAGTTACTCATCATTTCACATGCAGCTACTCATAAACTTCGCTTACAAATTACTCATCAACTTTCAGATGCAGTTCCACATAAACTTTCTCTGCAGTTACACATAGACTTTCACATGCAGTTACCGGTTAACTTCGCTTGCAGTTACTCATTACCTTTCACATGCTTGCTACTCGTCTTTCACATGCAAGTACTCATATCTTTCACATGCAGCTACTCGTTACCTTTCGCATGCAGCTACTGGACATTTTCCGATGCAGTTACATATCGATTTTCACTGCAGTTACACATTAGCTTTCGCATGCAGTTACACATTAACTTTCACTGCAGTTACTCGTTGCCTTTCGCATGCAGCTACTCATTAACTTCGCTTGCAAGTTACTCATTAACTTCACGTACAGCTACTCACCATTTCACTGCAGTTACACGTTAACTTCGCTTGCAAGTTACTCATACTTTCACCTCAAGTTACTCGTACTTTCACCTGCAGTTACACATTAATTATCACACGCAGTTACACATATGACTTTCGCAAGCATTTACTCAATAACTTTCACCAGCAGTTACACATTAACTTCCACTTGCAGCTACTCATAAACTTCATCTGCAGATACTCATCACAGTAACATGCACTTTACTCGCCGACTTTCACCTGTAGTTACACATAGATTTTCACTGCAGTTACACATCAACTTCCACAGCAGTTACTAAATAACTTTCACATGCAGTTACACATTAACTTTCACATGCAGTTACTCATTAACTTTCACATGCAGTTACACATTAACTCTCACATGCAGTTACACATTAACTCTCACATGCAGTTACACATTAACTCACATGTAGATACACATTAACTTTCACATGCAGTTACACGGTAACACTTTACAATAAGTTTCGTTAGTTAACATTAGTTAACTACATTAGTTAATATGAACTAATAATGAATAGCACATATACAGCATTTGTTAATCTTTGTTAATGTTATTTTCAACATTTACTAATACTTGATTAAAATCTTGTTAACATTAGTTAATTCACCGTTAACTAACATGAACTAACAATGAACAGCTGTGTTTTCATGAACTAACATTAACAAAGATGAACAAATGCAGTAACAAATGTATTGCTCATGGTTAGTGCATGTTAGTAAATACATTAACTAATGAACCTTATTGTAAAGTGTTACCAGTTACACATTGTCGGTTAAAAACAAGAAAGTGGCTAGTAAAAACGTCGAGTGGCTGGTCGATTTAGAAATCCACAGTGGCCGCCGGTGGACAAAAGAGTTGATTTCCATCCCTGCTTGGTAAATGTCAAGGTGTCATAACAAAGACATCTCAAACAATGTCATATTTGCATTAAAACTTTCATAACTGAGCAAAAGACACTTAATGACAGTTGTCACAAACATGCATAACCTTCCTTCATATTCATAACATACATCATGTTAGTCTTATGCATACCCCTTCAAGTAACGTGTTACCAAAGAATGAATCTCAGACAGTTCATAAGAGAAACGTGTGCAGGATTCCGTGTTGCAAGAATGCTGTCTTGACGAAGCCTAACTTGCTTCATAAATGTAATATATTTTTTAATATTTAATTTATCAGTCAGAGCAGGAATCAAGGCTACATTCGAATAAACAAAGCCAGCGGAGCGATTATCTCTGTCCATCTTGAGGAATGAAAACGGTTGAACCAAAGAACGTATATTGACAAGAAGTGAACGCTCCATTGCAACACAAGTATTTTGCAGTATTATCTTATATTAATGACCGTTAAAACAAAACTATGTAAACAAAAAAAAAAACACAGCCACTGTTCAAAGTGGCAATTAAAGTTATAGGATAACGGACACAGCGCATCAATGATCATCATGTTTGTAGCATGATCCAGGGGATTAAAACGTACAAAATATATTTCAGGCCTAATGGAGTTGGTAACTAATATAAAGTAGTAAATGTGTAAAGTTGCATACAATGGAAATACCATAGACTGTAAAAAAATATGGACAAAGCGTCTGTGACGTCACTCATAGACTTCTGAAGAACAGGTTGAGGCTGTTTATGGGGGTATGGGCGGCACCATATTAGAAAAATCTGTAGAAATTACCAGAAATACAAATGTTTCAGAAAGGATACAGAGATGCGCGTGTCAGATCATGGCCAAGACGTCCAATTCCACTCGGGCGCAGCCCGTTATCAGCTGTCAATCAAAGTTAACCGCCCTTATTTTTCATACATTTTACATCAAATACGATCTAAACTAACGAGTTAGAAAAAATTCACTCACCTCACAGTTGTCAGGCACTCAGAACCTATCGAAAAATACAATAAAAGTCAAACTGTAAACATATGAATTGATGCTGTGAAAACGGACATTTTAATGTGAGGTCTATGGATATTCACCCCCTTTTGGGACCGGCCCTCTAGCGGATTTTCGATGGATTGCAGTTTTTTCCCACTTCCGGGTAGGCTTCATTTTTCAGATTAGAATTTTGCCGCTTGGGAAAAATTAGAAGAAAAAACTACCTCAAAAAAACTTTATCTATGCTGTTGTCCAGTAACTCCAGTTGGAATTTTCACCCCAAAAATGGCGGCCCCCGCTCCTGAAGCGCCACCTAGTGGCTTTTACCAAAAAAGCATCAGCGTATTTTGCTTCTGTCTTCTATACTCTTTGGTTGAACTCTGACCAATAAGAGGATCGTTTTATACACGTGGCTTGCATAAACACATTTTGGTTCGCTTTGAAATGTTGCCTTGTGAAAGCAAACCGACGAGTAAAAAATTAAATCCGTGCTTCAGAACACAGAAAATGACCTACAGGTATGAAAATGCAGCCCTACACTGCAACCTATGGCATGAGTTGGGCTTGGCTTATCAGGTTTTCTGATAATCAAGTCA